GATGTTTGCTAGTTCACCTTACGTGCATTAATTTAATAACGTAAAAAATATATGTTACTCTTCTCCCCTCTGCTCTTTTTCCCTTTTCTGGGAAGTAGTGGGGAAGTAGAGCGTACAGTTCAATCCGGCGAGGAGGTGTGGGATACCAGATCAGGTGCCCCCCTTCAGGCACAGAAATAACAGTTTAACATGAATCAGTGACACTGATCAACACTGGCAATGCCTCCTTGGATGAGGGTGTCTAGTGTAAATGGCAAAACACCCAATGAATGCATTGGGTGAAAGGATTGTAACATCTCCTTTTACTGAATCAAGTAACTTCTTCAGTCTCCTCCTCCTTCAGTTTGTGATTTAGTATTGTTCATGGTTCAGTTTCCTTGTTTTCCATGTACATGTTAAGTTATGTCTCCATGATTATTTATGTCTCCCAGTTACTGTTAATCTTGCATGTCTTGAGTCTCTGTCTGTTTCCTGTTTTATTTTGACAGTTCCAAGTCCTGTGTTCAGTGTTTCCATTTTGCTTCCTCCTTGTCTCAATCCTTGTCAGATTTGTCCCAGCTGTGTTTTCCTCCTGTGTCTCATCCCATTGTTATTATTTGTGTATTTAGACTCTGTTATTTCCTCTGTGCATTGTTGCGTTGTCCCATGTTGCTGTGTTGTTTCTCTGTGTTCCTTGTAGCTGTGAATTTCCTCCTGGTTTGTCTAGTTCTAGTTAACCAATTTCTCTGTTTTCTAGTTTTAGTTCATTGTTTCTAGTTTGCAGTTTTGGTTTCGTGTCTCCTATTTACCATATTTTAGGACCATAAAGAGCACCGGATTATTAAGCACGCTGCCGATGAACGGGTCTGATTTCATACATAAGGCACACCAGATTATAAGGCACATTAAGCAAAACAAATAAGTGAGATAAGTCAAAAAAGTTAGCATTCATCCCCCAGCTTCACTGTGTTTATGTTATGCTAACATAGCTGTGTCACTAGCGATCAGCGAGCACATCATTATATACCAGGTAGTCCAACTTCAGTAACCCTACAAACTCACTGCTGTTTAGTTTTCTGTCTTCATTTATGTTGGAAGTGATAGCAGAGCTGTACGTTTGAATTTTTAAGAAATCTCTTAGTCAGAACATGGTATATCATGTTTAGATGGAAACTAGTGAGCTAACTTCCTGCTAGCATCTAACTCCAGTAAATTTAATAAATTCTGTTTTCATGGATGCCTAGATGTTAAACGTAATTGTTACACCCAGTAAAGCAGCAACGCTGATCATTTTATTAGAGAGGAAAGGATTTAGACAGTTTTTAACTCGTTTGACTTTGGGACCTGGAGAAGAAGCAGTTTGGACCCAGATTACTTCGAAAGGTTCCTGCCTACGGTAGCCGTAATGCTCCAACAATCCATCAAGTGGTGCGGCTTCATAGCTTACCAAAGTCGTACTAAAACATTTTCTGATAGATCTTTGAGCGCCGTGTACCGCATACGTTTGGTTCAAGGTCAGTAAGCACAACCAGAATACATATAAGGTGCACTGGATTATCAGGAGCACTGTCGATTTTTGAGAAAATTCAAGGATTTTAAGTGTGCCTTAGGGTGCAGAAAATAAGGTAGTGTTGTAGTTTTTTCAATGAATTAAGCTTCTCCTTCATGTTGTTCTTATGAGTATTGAGTCCTGTTTTTGGGTCCTCATCCTGCCTGCTACAGCACATTTACATGACAACCTCACTGTTACAACACAGACACATATATGGAAAAAAAACATAGGTTTTGTCAATTTTTTCATAAATAAGTAATGATTCAAATGTTTAAACTGGCATTTAAAGCGTTCAAACCCTGAAAATTATTTAATGTTTGATCATTTTGAAAAGCGCTCAAGTTGGTTATTTTTGGGGAAAAGGACAGAAAAAAATATTGCTGTGTTAGGATTTTATGGCAGATATTGTCAGTGTACATTTTTGTCTACAAAGGTGTTGCAACGGTGCAAAATTTGAGGAGGACATAAGGGCTAAAACAGATATTTTTGTGTCCTTTTA